GGCAGGGGGCTGGTAGGGGAGAGCTGGCATAAGCAATAGGGTAAGCTGCTTCTATCTACATAAGCAGGATGGGTGGCAAATGTTTGTAATCTTTTAAAAGGTATTGAAGTGGAAGATTGGCTTTGGTGTGTTTTGTTCCTTTCTTATCAAACATCTATCTTCGTTGTCTCTCTTCCTTCTTTTCTGTGTTTGTTACTCTCTTGTAACACTTCTAATCTTCAGCACTTGTATGACCTTATTGTGTTGGAAGTGAAGTAAAACTCTTACTAAAACGCAAAAGTTTTCAATACGATCAGTAGACTATGCTTCACAAGGCGGAATGTACGAGATAACGTCCATCCCCGATAGGATAGAAGGGAACAGCGTTATAGCTCCGACCATCCAGACCCACTGACAGCCCTGTATCCTATACAATTCTGTCAACTACCTTACTTTACTAAATACTAAGTAAGCAAGGGGTGTGCCCATACGAGTCATTGATTGTTACAAATTTACACAAACCTTCGCTTTGTTTAGCGGCAAGGGTGGGGGGAGGGGAGAAATTAAAGTACGTTGTCGTTATGCTCAGATTGGCAAAAGGTCGCGAAATAGCCGCCTTAAAGGGACACAGTCTTTACCATGTGTTATATGTCAGTGTGAGAGCGTTTACATACCATGTGGGGAGAGGACATTCTTCTCGTGCTCATCGTTCCAAGGGGGAACAGGGCGCTGCACTAACGGGCCCACTACCTACCTGCTTTATTATTTTAGAGTTTGTCTACGACGCACTTATTTGTGTCCTCATTTATTTCAATCGCCATTTACGCCATCTCTCCTTTAGTGCGCATTTATTTGTTTTTAGTGTTTGAAGGCTGTGGTAAACAATCTTGTTGTTGAGTAGTTGTTGTCGTTGTTGTTGTTGTTGTTGATCTGATACGGGCAAAAAAAACTTAGAAGAACGACGACGACGAAGACGACGACGACAAAGAAGAAGAAGAAGAAGAAGAAGAAGAAGAAGAAGAAGAAGAAGAAGAAGAAGAATCACTCACTACCCACACCAGAGTGCCCGCTGGCCACTAGCATGGGTTCAGGGTGGTCTGCGGAGATTGATGTATTTTTTATTGTATGTCTTTACCCTGGCAGGCACTTCTACTTCGAGTGCCAGATCAGAAACAGGCGTCGGTGGTCATGACCTTCCGCTCACATACTAATTCGCTCTTCCTCAGAACAGTACCTGATAACACAAATATCCTACATCAACATTCTGGATTTTTAGTTTAGTTTAGTGTTAGTAAGAGGTTTACAGCACTCACAACACAAAACGGTCATATAAGTGCCCAAGATTATAGGTGTTATAAAAGTGTAACAAACACAGAACAGAATGAGGAAGGACGATAGATATCTGACAGGAAAGAAGGAGCACACCAGAGCACCCACCAACCACCCACTCAGCGTTCTGGAATGTTGGAATGTTCGTTCCAAATGAATATGTCTTGATAAATCAACTCATTTTCTAATAATATTAGACACTTTTTCAACTTTGAAAAATCTTGCGTTGCCCGTGGCTTAACGGTGGCATGTCATGCAAAAAGCTGGAGGTGAAACGGAATAAATGGAAATCTGTAAGAAAGAAACTCAACCCGAGGTCCTCAACGCAATCATTCACTTTTCTTCTCTATCATAACAGGTGACAGGTTCCTGGCGTTAAGTCAATATAGACCTCTCCCCATGACACAAGAATGCTGCTCGTGAGTCTGATAACGAGAGAAAATTATTTCTTATGCCAATTAAAAAGAAAAGAGCTTTCAACAACAGTTATTCATACACAGAAGTAAGGTCTATAACGTCTCTTCCTCCTTGGAATGTTAAAGGTCACATTCCGTTCATTATGAATGAACTATTGTTTATCATAATCTTTGTTCTTGTTCTTGTTCTTTTTCTTGTTCCTGGTCTTATTCTTCTTGTTCTTATTTTCTTCTTGTTCTGGCTCTTGTTCTTGCTCGTGTTCTTGTTCTTCAAAAAGCCCTAAACCTAATTACGTCGTGCGAAGGAAGGGTAATAGGACCTCAGATATCCGGTGAGTGAATCCAGTTTAAACCAATCTCTTCTCTCCTTTTTATCGGTTGGGTTTCTTCCTTCCTACCGCATAGAGTACACTTGACCTTCAAGAACCTCTCATTTTGTCAACTGCCAAGCCAATGGTTTCTTTACATGCACGTGCATTATCAATTCTCATTCATCCATCAATTCCTGTCATGTTGTTATCTAAACTACACATTTATTCTCAAGGTAAGTCATTCGTTCAGAAATTCACAACACGTACACTTCTTTTTCTCCATCTATTCATCCATCATTTTTCTGTTCACGAACTCAATCCATCTTTCATTCTCCCAGCCACCTGCTTGTAAGAAATAATAATACTTTATTATCTTGTCTATAAGTTTGCTCGTTATAACCTTTCAGTCTGATTGCGTTGAGCAGGAATTGGATCTGTAAGCATCCCTTGGTATTTAACCGAGCCCTCAATTATTTCTGCGAGAGATTAGAGCAATTCAGTTTTGCAAACAAAAGTCATTTTCACGGTCGACATCTATCGAGTAAAAACTTTACAGATCAAAAGGATATCAATCATTCGAACCCGTGGAAACAATTGCATGAATGCTTAAATAAAATAAATAAACAGCCGAGCAAGTACAAGCGTACGGGCAACAACATAAAGAGGTATCCTCAATTAGATATCGGCTGATAAATAGATAGATAGATAGATAGATAGATAGATAGATAGATAGATAGATAGATAGATAGACGGGA